TAAATAGAGGGATTTCCTCTCATTTTAAAATTAAAAAAACTTTGAACCTCCTCCTCCTCCTTGTCCTTGGACGAGCTTATTATTATTATTATTATGAGGCAGAAAATAAACATTTGTTCACACTACCCTTTGTTGTCTATAAATAGAGGGATTTCCTGTCATTTTAAAATTTAAATAAACTTTGAACCTCGCCTCCTCCTTGTCCTTGGACACTTCCACTTCCACTTCCACTTCCACTTCCTCTTCCTCTTCCACTTCCACTTCCTCTTCCACTTCCTCTTCCTCTTCCTCTTCCTCCTCTTCCTCCTCTTCTTCCTCTTCTTCTTCTTCTTCTTCTTCACAATTAAATATTTGTGTACTTTGCTCCTGTTGAGTGACTCACTGACATCATTGTTTATGTTATAGATCCTGGTATAAAATTTTACAATCATTAATTTATGTTTATGTTATTAAGGATAAATGATAAGATATAATAATTTTCATTTTCCTTTACATTAATAATGTTTTTTACTACGTAATCTTGTATGTAAGATAATATAGTGTTTTAGTTTTAATGTCTCATAGGTTCTAAGTATTATTTTATAAATTTCATAACATAAAATTCCCGCGCAAAGTGCGGATAATTTTACTAGTTATTAAATAATTTAAAACTAATTAAACTAGTAAGTTAACTATTATTTAAATTCAATAACCAAGAAATATTAATTTAACAATGTATTATTTATTTATTTTAGTATAAATTAATAACTAATAAGGATTGTGATGAGAAGGATAGAATTCCTTCATTCTAAACTAGAGGTCAACAATTTGAGCTCTAGGAATAAAATAAATTATGTTAGAGAGTACAGTTTCCCCTCAAATAGGCCTTATGTGGGGCAAACTTCCATTAGTCAACACCAATATCATAAATAGAATAAAAATTAAGAACTAACCTAACATTTCTTAACATCTTGTTTCATAATTACTCAATAGAACAAGTTTTTAGTGGTCTTTTTATTTTTCATTTGTCGCTATACATTTATGGAATCCATAAGTCGAATGACAAATGGTGCATGGATATGTTCTCAAAAACGATATTCCCTAATCCCTTCAATATATACTCAATAATTTTGCTTTCTTTAATTTTCTTCAAAGTTGACATTTTTAGTTTCCGTTAAATATTTAATAAAACAATTTAGATTTGTTAGATTTGAAAAATAATAAAACTTTCTTAATTATTAATATAAAAAATGTCCCCTAAAATAAGTGACACAAAAAAATCACTAGACACGCTTAAAAAATATATAAATGTAGCAAAAATTGTACCTCAAAAACTACAATAAATTTTAAAAATATCAAAAAGTACTACAAACAATATGCTTCCAAATGACACTAATTTCCTTTACGTTTTTCATTGTTCCATCAAATCTACCAAATAGAGTCAATAAATATTTAACGAAGACTAAAGATATTAAATTTTAACAAACTTAAAAGACCAAAACAATTTAGTGCATACTTAAAGAAACTATTTTGAACCTACTAACCATTTTTGTTATTTTCTCAACAAAACATGCCACCTATATCTCCTATAAAGCCCTTGTAATTAACTAAGGAAAACAAGAAACAAGGAGAAGGAAAAACAAACTATTGAAATTGTGTTTGTTTTGTAACATGGAAAAATCTTTCAATCATGATTTTTAATTATGTCAAAACTAATTTCTTTTCTAAATAAGGGTAAATTAGGATATAATATACAATAACTATTTTTATTGAAAAGATTACCTAAGAAGGCAGATATGTGACACTCCATGTGTTTACTATATATTTTTTTCTATTTGGTTGCAAATTTCTCTCTCTTCTCTCCCTCCTTCCTCTCTCGCTTGCCTCTCTTATCTATTTGCCCTATCTCTCTCACCTCCTCGTCCCTAATTCTGCAATACAAATAAAATATTAATAATCAATGATAAAAATATAAATAGTAACACAAATGCAATAACGATAAACAAGGCAACAAATAATTATATTTGTGATACAATTATCGATTAGATATATAATTATCGTTCACCTCTCTCCCCCTCTCGTAATCTTGCTCGTCTCTCTCCTCCTTCTAGTAGCTAGTTTGATACAAATCAATTGTATCAATTGTATTCATGATACAATTAGATCAAATATACAAAATAATTGTGTCTCTCTTCCATCTTCTAGATCTCGTTCGTCTCTCTCCTCCTTCTAACATATAGCTACGAATCGTAATTAAATAAATTATAATTGAGAAGTCTGATTATGTTTTTAGACTTGGCTATTTTAATTTTTTTTTATTTGCCGTCTTCGCCAGTTGTGCAGGCCATTTGCATCCTTGAATTAATCATTATCCTATGTCATTAAATTTCATCTATTAGTTTTTGGCCTTTCTCTTTAATGATTAGATAAAATGGAGTTTTCTTTACTATGCTTTCATGTAAATAGTGAAGAAAAGCCAATATATATTCTTGTGGGTCAAAGTTCAGGAAAATTCCAATAATTCTTAAATAATTTAAAACTAATTAAACTAGTAAGTTAACTATTATTTAAATTCAATAACCAAGAAATATCAATTTAACAATATATTATTTATTTATTTCCACAGAAATTAAGAACTAATAAGGATTGTGGTGAAATGAATAAAAGTCATTCATTCTAAATTAGAGGTCAATGATTTGAGCTCTAGGAATAAAAAAGATTATGTTAGAGAGTAGTCTTTCCCGCTCAAATAGATCTTATGTGACGCAAATTTTGATTAGTCAACACTGATATCATAAATCAAATAAATACCTCAAAAATAATAATTAAATATTTCATAACATCTTTTTATTTTTCATTTGTCTCTATGCATTTATGGAATCCATAAGTCGAATGACAAATGGTGCATGGATTTGTTCTCAAAAACGATATTCCCTGCAATATGCACTCAATAATTTTGCTTTCTTTAATTTTCTTCAAAGTTGACAATTTTAGTTTCCGTTAAATATTTAATAAAACAATTTAGATTTGTTAGATTTGAAAAATAATAAAATTTTATTAATTATAAATATCAAGAACGTCCCCTAAAATAAGTGACACAAAAAATGTCACTAGACACTTAAAAAATATATAAATATAGCAAAAATTAAACTTCAAAAACTACACTTAAATTTTAAAAATTAATCAAAAATATCAAAAAGTACTACAAACAATATGCTTCCTAATGGAACTAATTTCCTTTAAGTTTTTCATTGTTCTATAAATCTAACAAACAGAGTTGATAAATATTTAACGAAGACTAAAGATATTATATTTCAACAAATTTCAAGGAAAATATCTTATTTATAAACTCTTGCATTTCTTGTATATTTCTGTGTATTGAAAATAACTAATAATATCCCTATTTATAATAATAAACATCCAAATTAAACTAAGACTAGAAAATTTATTCCAATGTGAACTATGACAGACAAATCCTAACTAGCCATTAAATAAATAAATATGAAAGTACTTAGAATTTCTACTCCAACTTTGAGTTATTATTTCCGACAAAACTTAAAAGGACCAAAACAATTTAGTGCATACGTTAGAAACCATTTTTGTTATTTTCTCAATAAAACATGTCACCTATCGTATAAAACCCTTGTAATTAACTAAGGAAAACAAGAAAATATAAGGAAAACAAACTATTGAAATTGTGTTTGGTTTTGTAACATGGAAAAATCTTTCAAACTTCCAATTCTAGATTTCTACAATACAGACTTATTAAAACAAGGATCCAATGAATGGAATTCATTGAGAGATGAAGTTTTCAAAGCCTTTCAAGAATATGGTTGTTTTGAGGTTATGTTTGATAAAGTTAAACCAAGAGATTTACTTGAAGAAATTAAAGAGATTTTCAACTTTCCATTAGAATTCAAAATGAGTAAATCATCTACTATGTTTGGTTACTTGGGACAAAATCCAACATTGCCTCTCTATGAAAGATTGACAATTCAAGATGTTCTTTCTCATGGAATTGCTAAAAAATTTGCTCATCTTTTCTGGCCAGATGGAAATCCTATAGTTTGGTATGTTAATTACTACTTCATACCATATTCTTTAGGGAAAATGTAGAAGTACCTCCCTAAACTATGACCCAAATTTCAGAGACACGCCTTAACTAAACTAAGGTCCTATTAATCCCCTGAACTCATTTTTTTTTGTAATTTTGTACACCTTTTTGGCTTACGTGGCATCCAAATATCTCTCACGCACCTCAACTGTGTGGAATCACGGAGTGTGCCACATAAGCCAAAAGGTGTACAATATTATATATAAAATGAGTTCAGGGGTAATAAGATCTTAGTTTAGTTAAGGTGTGTCTCTGGAATTTCGGTCATAGTCTAGGGGGTACTTATGCGTTCTCCCCGTTCTTTAAATAAAATACTCTCTTGCTAAACAACAAAATCGATCACTAATTCTATTTAACGATGGATTTTCAAAATATTATGACTACTCTAGTGAAGAAATTTTTAGCTAATTTCAAGTTCTTTTGTAAAGGTTTTTTTTTTTTCATTTTTAATGTTAGGATATTTGACATTGTTGGGATTATTTTTTCCTTTAACAATGAGGAGAAACTTGACATTTCAAAAGTTAAAATTTAAGAAATTATGGGACTAAAAATATGAGTTCCTAATCAATTGGTAAAATACGATAGTAAGCTTACCAACTATATTTATTTATCTTATATTTTGAAATTCAGCTTAATTACCACACTATAAGTCTATAACAAATAAAGGATATTGCAGCAATAATATAATTATCCTATTTTGTGGCAATAATATAATATAGATATTTATAACCAACACTCAATGTAAATGTCGCTAAAGACTTTAATAACTTTGAATATAATGACAATATTAACTTAATGACTGTTAAATATTTTTACGACAATAGAAAATTTATTACCACTAAATTAAATGTCTCTTTTGCTCCAACTATACTTTTTTTTTTCTCACTACACTCAATTACCTTTGTGTTTCTCAACTTATTATACTTTCATTTAACTTGTAAATTTAACAGTGATATGGTACTTTCCTACTCTAAGCAATTGTCAATGTTAGAAAAGACAATAAGAAGAATGGTTATGGAGATTTTGGGAGTAGAGAAATACATTGAGGAGCAGAATGAATCATCAAATTATGTACTTATTTTCAACAAGTATAGAAAACCTACAAGGGATGAGAGTGGAATTGGATTGGCTCCACACACAGACAAAAATATACTAACTATTTTATTCCAAATTCAAGTAAATGGATTGCAAATTCAAAGGGTTAATGGACAATGGGTGGATGTTGAATTCTCACCTAATTCTTTTCTAGTCCTTGTTGGAGATGTTTTTAAGGTACATGTTTCATATTCTTTTGTATATTCGATTTGATACAAAAATTAGTTTAACATTTTCCTTATAATATTACTTTTTCTTGAGCCGAGAGTCCATCGAAAATAAGTTTTCTATTTCACAATCTTCAGGTAAGGTCTACATACACTGAACTCTTCTCAAACTTCATTTGTTTGATCGATCACATCGATATGTTATTGTAGTTGTTTTCTTATAGTATTAGGTAAATATGTTTACTATATACGCTATGCTCCCTAAAATATTTTCAATGTAGGCCCTTGGGAAATATCTTAATGAGTAAGTGATGCAAGAATAGAGGCTACAACCTTTTTGGAAATGAAATATAAAAAAATTATACACAATTAAATATTATAAAAGATAATTGCAAATAACGCTAACATGAATTGGTTAATCAAAACAAATGATAAGTAATAATAAATTAAATTACATTAATAACATAAAAAAACTATTAAAATTTTCGGTGTATATCTTTGGAGTAACAATCATAATAGAGCTAGTCAAATATTCAAATATTTAATGGGCAACTAACAATATTTCTTCTAAAATTTTAAAATATTATTGCAGGCATGGACAAATGGTAGATTACACGCTCCTATTCATAGAGTATTGATGTCTAGAAAGGATGAAGAAAGGTTCTCTATTGGGTTTTTTACATTTCCCAAAGAAGGTTATCTTGTGAATGTCCCAAAAGAGCTTGTAGATGAAGATCACCCTTTGCTTTACAAGCCATTTGATGGTATAAAATATATTCAATTCTATAAATCAGAGTCTGGTCAAAGAGCAAGCCATGATAGTCTCAAGGCTTATTGTGGTGTTTGATGTAGAAGTGGATTCAGAATTTGAATGTGATGATAACATCTCTATCTTTAATTATATATAGTAGTAAAGTAACTATTAGTGTTAAAGTTTTATGTACTATTTATTGTAAGCTTAATGATTATAATACTTGATTAGCAAAATTTTAATATTATTAAATATATCATTAATCTTTTTTTTTATCCTCCCTAGGAGCTCCCTCCCTTTTTGCTCCCTTGATGACTTGAACTCGCAACCTTCTGGTTGGAAGTGAGGGGTGCTTACCATCCGAGCAACTCTCTCTCGTCAATATATCATTAACCTATCTACATATAATAGAACAAATTGTTATATATATATTTGTCGAAAGTCTTACCATAATTATGACAATTGTTGTTGCAATAAAATTTCCCATTTCAACACTAACACTAGTTTAATTAGTCATTTTGTCATCAAAATTTGACATCCAACTTAGTATTAAAGAATACTAACTATAAAGACTTTCATCTTTATTCACATCGTTTTTAGTTTACAATAAAGACTTCTATCTTTATTCACACTGATTTTATTTTATTTATATTCTTCAAATTGCTAACCAAATAAACTTTAAGTACTACCCAAGTTTTTATATCATTCAAGTCAAAATAAAACTCAAATAGAGTAGAATTATAAGGTTTTAATCTCTAGAAAACAAAATTTAATTTTAAAATAAAAAGATAATTTCATTAAGTTTGTTACTCCCTCTGTTTCAGAAAAAGGATGACCTAGTTTGACTTGGAATAGAGTTTAAGAAAAGAAAGAAGACTTTTTAATCTTGTGGTTCTAAATTAAAATTCTATCAAATGTATCAAAATGTCCTTTAATCTTGTGGCCTTAAACCTGCCACGTAGTAAATTGAAGTTAAAATGTTGTCAAAAAAGGAAAGGGGTCATTGTTTTTGAAACATACTAAAAAAGAAATTGGGTCATTCTTATTGAAACAGAGGGAATATTTGTTAGTAGTGCTAAAATTGATACGATAACATAAATAGTAAAGACTATTATGAAATAATATTAGTAAAACAAGATGAAAGAATAAACCCCAATCCCATTGAATTCATAGTTTGATCCTTAATGAAATTATTCCTCTTAACCACCTGAGGTTATGGAATATGACCTCCCAAGATAGAACAATTTACTTCAACAAAGTAGCGGTACCTCAAATTTTACAGAACTTCAAACTCAGTCAATGTTTGCAAATCACTTAGAAAATTTATACTCAATCTGTACCTAGTATGTGAGGAGGAATATTTATAGAAAAGCATTGGTTTAGAAAAATTGCATTGGTCTGTACTTGGGCAAATGTGGTTTGCACTTTGAATAGCAGCTTAAAAATTTGCACTGGTTTGAAAGTAAGGCACGTGTTTGATGTTGACTTGGTAGTTTCCTATCCTATATGGATTTTACAAAATACGACCGTTTTATGACTTAATAATCCAAGAATTAATTTAAATAATCGTTCTTCTAGCAATCTATATGAAAAATAGTTAAGGAATGTCTAATTCATATATAATGTGTGTAATCGTATATAATCAATGTAATATAAAATTCTTTTTTAAATTCACATTGAAAAAGAAATAATAAGACGGAAACTCTTATGCATTAATATTAGAGTGAGAAAGTGTGATTCTCACTCTGAATAGCACCTTAAACCAAAAAGTTGGAAACTTCACTGGTTGGGTTGTTCATGTGCGGTCCACACATGCTCAACTGAGTTCAATGTAATGATCCGGAAGGTCTTTTTTGATATGATATAAAGTCGAAGGAAAATGGTTTTGGCTAGTGATATTGTGTCGAAGGAAAATGGTTCTGGCTAGTGATATTGTGTCGAAGGAAAATGGTTTCGGCAAGAGCTTGAGTATTGTGATTGATGCATTTTGACACTTGTGATTGATCTACTTGACACATGTGATTGATCTACTTGATACTGCATGAATGACCTACTTGATACATGTGATTGATATACTTGAAACTTATTGGTTGTTGAACTGTGACTGTTGGATTGGGATTTTTAAGCCTTGTGAACAATGTATTGTAAAATTGTTAGGTTGGGCTGATCTCTAAGCTGTAGTTTGATGAAGTTCGGTTGGAATGAAAGAAATACTCATATTCTAGGCTAGTTTTGCTTTGTTTAGTAGGTTGCTTGATGAGTACCGTGTTATTTGGTACTAACTCCTTCCTTCTACACTTATATAGGTTTCAAGCCCGGACCCGTGTGTTCTTCTCCTTCTTTGTCTATTTTCGAGACTTTTCAAAGGACTTTGAGAGGTAGTTACTTGTCATCCCGGCGAATCCTCTTCTTCCTTTATGTTTATGCTTTTTTCTATTTGAGCAACAAAAACTTTGAGACTCGTACTTATCTTTCAATTATGTATTAATACATTAGTGGCTTGTACATGTGACAATCAGGTTATGTGGGTTTTAATAGAATGACTAATTTCCCGCTCTTATGTTATTCTTGTTTTAGTTTCCGCTTTTCCTTCGTATTTTTGGATTTGAGGCTTACTTCTCTTGATGGGCTAAATGAGTGTCATCACGTCCATTTTTGGCTCGTGAAAATTCTTCAAGTTGCACCAACTCGAAGAACACCTAAACTACAAAACAACAAACCAATAAAATAACCTAACTAGAATATTAAAGCTAGTACACTACAGTCTTCGTTTAGATTCGCAGTACCACAAGCTCTTCAATCAGAACTCTTTCAAATATGAACTCTCTCGTACTTGATAATGCTCTGCTTGTCTCTCTATGTAAGTGTGCAGATTTCTTTGTAGGAAACCCTGCTTTATTTATAGGCACCATATTTCTCCTTGTTTGAGTCGAAATCCTTTCCTAGTTTAACTTTGCTTAAAAATAATATATTCCCTTGTAACTGCCTTCGTACTTCATTCACCACCTCTGCACTCTGTTTCTTGTTTCAACCTTATTTACGTCTCCTTATTTTAGTTGGATTTGGCTTTCTATGAGAGGATGGTGAAACTTGTTCCTTTGTAGTTGTTCTCCGCTTTGTCATTCTTCAAAATACTTTCTTCATCTAACACAACATATCTAGTGTAATCTAATAACTGAAATTTGAAAGGGTAATGTATACATGGATCGTATCCGTGAAGATAGAGAGAATATTTCCTAAAAATTCTTAGCTCAAGTAAATCAATACCAAGTAAGTTTGGAAAAGAAACACCATAGTGAAGTAGTATTGAGAATACAAAGAAAAGAACAATGTTATTGATGTAATATTTATTCAAATTATATTTGAAACTTAAGATTATATCTATCTGTAAAAACTGAATTAAATTGAACGATGAGCACTTTTTATTACACCAACATATGTTGTTTGATACAATAGGTTTGAATAAAATAACAACGTAACCCTCCAAACACTTAATCAAGATGAAGTTTGAGGTGAAATTAGTTCTGTTGATTTTATTTAAATTTGATTTAATTAATCAATCAAAATTGATTAAGCATAACTCGTACTTACTTAAATTATATTCAAAGCTTATACAGTAAGATCTTATAAGATAGAATGTTTAATATCTCTAACTAAGCTAGTTAGATAAACATATTATTCAATAGAAGAGGTTCAAAAACACATGTAGCACCTCAAGTTACTTTTCACCAGTATTAGATAAAATGTCTCACCTTAATTGTGCTCACACTTTTAAAAAAGATCAATAATATATTATATTGTAGTTATATTTTTTTTTCTCAATTGATAAATTATTTATTTAATTTGATAATTATGAAATTTGAACAAAAGAAAATTACGTGTATTACTCCCTTTGTTCTTTTTTACCCGTCTACTTTGGACGTCCCACGTCTATTAATAATAATGATTGATATGCATATTTTACTAGAATATCCATATCAATTGTTGTTTAGGTCTTTTTTTTTTTTGAGAAATAGGTAATTAATACTAATAGTAAAACATGAATTATTATTTTTTTGTATATTTTTGTTAAGTTAAAAATGAAAATATAATTATAAATATACATTTAGATTGGGGACAAAAGTGTATGTTATACAACTTTGACATATATATACAATCCCAAAAAAGCACAACTAAGCCCACTTTGTTTTGATAGAATATAGGCTCAAATACTTGACCATATTTCCCCTATTTGGTATAAAAAAAAAAGGGAAACCCTAAATCCCTAAATTTGAGAGACAAAGTTCATTCTACATCATCCTCAAATTTGTCTCTCAAGTGAACCTTCATATCTGGAATTTGTCTTTCAAAGCTCAAGGCTCAACCTCATTCTGATCTCCTGTACCATCACATCAAGGGTAAATTTGTTTTCTCTTTACTTTCACTTGATTTCTCATCATATTTTGACAATGTTGGTTTATTACTGCACCCTAGAGGGTATGTAAAGAATGAGAAGATTCTCTATTTTATGATTTATAGATGGTTTAAAGACAATGATGCTTTATCCTTTCTAACTATTCTTAATGTGGCTTAATTCATTGTTTTCCTAAAATAATTCATCAGCAAAGGCAAAACTAAAAGTTTAAAGTTAAATTATTATAAATATAAAACAGAATTAAATTAATCTGAATTTTATCATCTATTACGATCCTCTATATAGAGGCATTAAGCTTTCGTTACACCCTCCAACAAACTAAGATCCAATCAAACTAAATATGTGATGACATATCACAGCTAGATTCTGACAAATCTCAGCTAGATTCTAACAAATCTCAGCTAGATTCTTTGTTTTAGTTGGGAATTATACTCTTCTATCTACTATAATTGAATGTAACGATCATCTTGTTGCTCCTTAAAAGGTATGTCAAGTCAATAATGAACAAGTAAAAATGTACCGAAGGGGTATATAATAGGTGGAGCTTGTGTGGAAATTTGTTAGTAGTAATGGCAGATGTGGTCCCGAAATTAGAGAACGGGGTTAAAATTGCTACCAAAATTTTACCGAAGGATAAAAATGGCCTATTTTTCCATGAAGATGTATTAGAAACTTATTGTTA